TGATTTATAAAGCACGTGCTTTTGATATGCAACGTAAGCACTCTAGTTCTTCACTGAATGCTGAGGTCTGTTCCAAAAATCAAGCACCAAACCAAAACGTTCAACTTTAACATAAATCTTCCTCCTCTTACTGCACAGGAAGCAGTGAGACCATACAGTACTTCTCATATATGCCTATCAACCCGCTATACTAGCATAAATGGCTTTTTAATCAAGCTCCATTGTTCATACTGTTAGTGCAGCTGTGCCCAACTATGGGAAGCCTAGAACTGGCCAGGATAAACGAATCCTATCGCTACTGAACTGGCCAGGATAAATTAATCCTATAGCTACTGAACAAAACAGATACGGTGCGTTACCAGTAACATGGCCTGCTCCTGGAGCAGCTGCTGCTGAAGAATTTCCAAGTGCCGCTGCTCCTCTTCTAGCTGTCGCCTGATATACTCCTGTCACATAGAAATTACCCAGCAATAAATTTATTCACAAGGAATGCATCAGAACCACCTGAGTGGAGCACCATAAGCTATTTTTCCAGTCATCTTTAGGTGATAAATTAACTTAGTGATTGATCAGTGCTTAGAAAGTAGTTTGGAAAACCCTGTCATCTAAACGTCCACGTTGGCTGATGTATCCCAGTTTGGACAACAGTGATTTTCAAGGACTGAGTCACTGACTGCTTATGTAGTTTGGAAATGGTTTGAAAAAAGAAGCAAATGCATTTAGAAGTTTTGAAGGTTAAAATACAGCAAACCTTACTCAACACAGCCAACACAAATTACATGCAAGTTTATTAAAAATTAGTTTGTTGTGCTGGTGTGATGAACTGTTAGCAACAGCTAGACATCCAGGCTTAGTGCAGGCAGACCTTGTGCAAGCTACCCCACAGGGGGGCTCTGCCAAGTGCAGTTCAAACCTAACCTACAATCTCCACTGCTACCATAATCATAAGCCTATCCTGAACAGACACTTCCACATCTGCTGAACTATGCAATGGTTATGACACAAACAGACATCTACCACGAAACAGATATTAGACCAAACTGTCTCTGGTGATCTAGCCACATACACCTGTATCTCAAGAGGTCAAAAGCTAATATATTTACCCACTGCTTCATCTGGCCCCCCTATAACAGCTAACTATGAAGCACCATGTCCAAGCTGATAACATCCTATCATGCAATTAATGAAAGCATATAACATATGCATGCTCACACAAATACCACATCCACACATTTACACACACGCGCGCGCGCACACACTGAAAGTGTATGCATAAAGTAATTAGTGATACAGTGATGGGAGCTATAGAATAAAGTTTAATGATAAACGGATGATGGACACTAGCTTAGCATAAACCTACACAAAAAGATTTGCCGGGGTAAGAAAAAAACCGAGGGGCCACGTCAGTTTCACAGTGGTAGTCTGAGATATTTCCAGACTCAATCCTGCTTTTCCTTAAGTTAATGGAAATTTCACAACTGATATCTTCTATTGGAAGAGTACTGGGCTCTTCATTTGGAATTAATCTTTACCTCACTTGCTAGCTACTATATACATAGTAATTATTACCGTGATTAAAGTTTTATAAAGGATTTTTAAGCATGCAGAGTTCATGCATAAGTACCACTGCTGAGCATCTCACAATTTGAAAGACTTATCTACTTAAAATATTTAAAGAGCACATTTACAGTACTTAAGATATTCTTAAATTCTTAATTGGCACATGTAATTGTAGGTGAATTCTTTCCAGCTAAAGAAAGTTACTGTGCAATTCAAAATAATATAGTATTGAGTTTATTTCAAACAACCTGTTCAATTTTGACAAACCCTCTGATGCAACTTATCCAAGGAGTGCCAAAATAATCACATCCAATAAGGCAGATTCTCTCAGAGATCTTCCTGACAGGAGCTGATCCTGCCAAAAACTACTGTTCCAGCAATATGGATCAAAAACCAATTTTCTGTACTGACTCAGATGTTGCTACCTTACGTCAGTTTTATGTAAGCCCTAGCACTATCTGAGTTTAGATCTATTTGATGCACATGTTTAAGAACTCATTTTTCCAAGCCAAATGAAGACCACTTGAACTTGCCATAAGACTTCAAATTTTCCTTTCATGCACTTGTTGAAGAGGCCAGGTGGGCTCTCTAATGGAACTGTGTTTGTTTGTGTTTTTTAATCTAACTCCAATTTAATACAGAAAAAACAAACTTGTGAGCTTTATGCTACATCAGAGGCTCACCTGCTCTCTCTCTACTCTCCTCTTTTCCTCCTCTGCTCTCCTCCTCTCCTCTTCTTCCTTACGTCTCCTTTCCATTTCCTCTAGCCGTCTTTTCTCCTCCTGTTCTCTCCGTCTCTGCTCACGCTCCTGTTGCCTTCGAGCTTCCCGTTCTCTTCTTTGTTGCTACAGAAAGAAAAAAAACTCCATCATTATTACCAAAGAGAAAGCTGCAGTTGATCTTTATTGGGGGTGGAGGGGTGCACCTTAGGGTCTGATCAAATCAAGTGTTAAAAGATTCCAGCAACCAAACCACAAGATAAAAATGGCAGAATTAGAATTATTTAGTCTAGAGAAAAACAAACTTGAAGAGGGATTTGATTGACAAACCACTTTCATTCTGTTCACAAGAGCCTGAGATTAGGTAACAGGAGTAACTTTCTAACTGTGAGTACAATTACACACTGAAACAGATTGTCAAGAGGCTGTGGAATCGCCATCACTAGCAGTTTAAGGGCAAGTTAGACAAACACTTGGCCAGAGTCAATCAAAGAGAATAAATCTATCTTATGCAGGGAGTTAGACTACATGGTCCTTGGGTTCCAGGACTATTTTCCACAGTCTTAGAAACAAGAAGTTGTAAGACAGTGGTGTTCCTTAGTTAAAGTAAAATTAAAATATTCTAAACATTAGAGGTGAGCATCATTAGCGGCAAGGATTTTCTAATATTCTAAACATTAGAGGCAAGGATTTGGGGGTGGGGAGGGGAAGGGGAAGCGATTCTCTTGCACTTATTCACAATCTCACGGCCGTGTGTAAACGAAACGAGAGGCGAGTGCACACAACACTTTAAAGTGGGCTAAAGGCTTTTGCACCACTTTAATAGTGTCAGTGTTTGCACGCCTCGGCGGCATATTGCGCATTAATTCCAGCCACTGTAGGAAATTCAGCAGTGTAATGCACCTTAAACGACTTGGGGTGCAGCAAACAAACTCCTTAGTTTGCTGCCCCTACAGCCACAGAGCGCAGCACCGAGCTCAGTGCAGCTCCACAGCTCTGCAGGAAGCCCTGCAGGCAAACTGACAGCAGCCCAAGAAAAGTGGTGAGCCTGATTCCCCCCCTCCCCGGAGCCTGCCTGCCTGCCTGAGCTGTGCAGGGGTCTGGTGCTTCCTTCCCGCCCAAGCCAGGTGCCTGTGGGTGGGTGCTGCCTGGGAGGGGGGGCTGCCACTGCTACAGAGTGAAGCACCAGCCCCACCCCCGCAGCCCAAGGACCACTCTGCCTGCCAGCAGCACGCCCTCCCTTCCCCACTAGACAGGCACGTAGATCAACGGGGTGTGTGCACGACACAGGGGTTTAATCATCCCTAAACTGAAGTGGTGTTTTTTAAAACCCACCGCTTTTAAGGTCCCTGTTTTGTCTACACATGCCCATATATAATGTTTTCTTGCATTCTAGGGGGTTCACTGCTGCCCCCAACTGGGATGTAAATCTGAAAGTCAGTTAGCTCTGAAGGTGGCATGAAACCAGGCAGTAACATGCAATTAGTCATCACTAGCCTTCCACAACATCCACATTTTGCCAAAAGGAAATGGCAGGGAGTAGCCCTTACCTGTGCTACCTATAATTCAAACAACAACAAGTATCAGACTATTTTACAAGCAACTTTTTGGTTAATATTCTAGATGCCCATTTAAGATCACTAATGCAACCACCGGATGCTGAAAAGAAGATGCACTTTAAGTCACTGCCCTAAAACAACATAGAATTAAGGCTAACTAGGATGAGTACCCCTGACTTTTCTACAGAAGACTGAGGGCACCTATATTTAAATCTCTGAAAACTAAAAATGATGGAGATCAACTTCTATGGTTGGATAATTAAGTTTTCCAAATACAAGACAAACTGTAGAGCTAATATCTGTCTGAATCGGAAAAACAACCTGGCACAAAACAGCTCTGAGAAGTGCAAACTGACCCTTTTACTCTGACAGAGTGGTATCACTGAAATTGAAGGACAATTCAAACATCAGGAGTTGCTTAACAGTGCTCATGCTTTTAGGAGAAATAGCCGGTAAACATGCCTACCACAAAAATCCCAAGCCCCACCTACCCAAATCCAGGGTCAGTTCAAGCAGCCAAACAGCTAAATGCATTGACTGTTCTTTTTAACAATGACTACAACACAATCTCAATTTTTATAATGTATCTGAAGTAGCTATATACAGTATGCTCCAGTCAAGAACCAAGAGGAACCAGGAGTCAAAAGATTTAGAGTTCAGGGGACCATATTTTTCAGTGCTCTCTTTATAGGTTTGCAAACTGAAACAGTACAGGCTGAACTGGTCTCCTTCCTCTCCTACACTCAATGCTTTCTTTGCTAGCTACATTGGTAGCTTGACTGCTGACCGCAAAGAAAATGAAAACGTATCAGAATTAATTTCCTCTTGGAACCAAGAGCTGCCCACGGTGTGTAGAAGCAAGCTGAAGAAAAAAGTGACTCGTGGTTTAAGGCTTGGAAATATTGTATGCCAGGGATTGACAACATTTTTGGCTGGAGTGCTAAAAACACCCCAACCTGAAGAGCCAGGGACAGACCGCAGTGAAGCTGGGAGGGGCCCAATTCACGTTTGTGGTGGTGGCTGCATGTGCACCTCCAGGTTGGTGGTGGGGGATAAGCTGGGTTTGCACTGCCTCAGGCCTCTCTCCTGCCATCTGCCCCGAGGTACACGTGCAGCTACCGCCACCACGGAGCCTGCCCGGGGCTCCAGAGCCTGATGCAGCTGTTTGCAGCCGGCTCAGGCTCTGGGCAGCTGCTGCCAGCCATGGAGTCTGACCGCTGCAAACAGCCTGGGCTTCAGGGCTGGTGGCAGCTGCCCAGCCTGGGCCAGCTGTGGTGTGCCAAATAAAATGGCCTTGTGTGCCATGCTCTAGCATACATGCCGGGTGGCCGTGTGGGCCATGCTCTAGCATACATGCCGGGGGGGGGGGTTGCCAACTCCTGCTCCATGTTTTTCAGTACTCCAGTAGCAGAACTCTGGAAACTACATTGACCTCCCAGAGATCACTGCTCATATCCACCCACGCCACTTCAACTGGCAGTATTCTGGCTTTTCTTTAGAGTTTCCTAGGGCTCAAAGCCACCTTCCTACTCCACCAGCCTCACTTAACATAAAATTTTGCTCTGCCCTTCTACAGGTGTTCTAAAAGTCTCCAAAAACAGCCTCCATGTTTTTGCATTCCTTCTAAATAGGTAGTTCTACCAAACTTCTTCCTTGTTTCAACTTCTCTTTGATAAGCATAGGTACAAAAAAAGTTAAGTGCTTCCAGGCAGCCCAGGAACACTGTAGAATATGTAAGGTTTTGCTATCTTTTTTTAACCACTTTAAAAGGATTAAATAGGTTCTTTTGTTTCTGAATATAGAATTTGTTTGACACAGATGTATATATTTAAGTTAATGAATTTGGGTACCTAATCAAGTCTGACAAGTTCTTAGTTTAAGAAAATTAAGATGTGAAGTAGAACAATTCTGCTGCCTTGAGGATGGAAGCAAGAGCATGCAACCAACTGGTTAAGTGTCAGTTCAGACACTTCTTAGACCACAGCAGCACTCTGTCTACCACCATTAGAGGACATTATGCTGGTCTATGACTTTTATTATCTTCATTTCTTGGTAGACTGACACAGTTCAGGTCATTCTGATTAAATGAATTTATCATTTCTTGAAGGGAGGCAAACATTGACAGTAATAATTATAAATAGCTGATCTTGATAAGAGTTGAGAATTGACTGTAGGAAGCTTGCCAATTTTCCACATCATGAAGTAACAAGAACAGAATTAAATTTTAAGAGACCAGATTTTAAAGAAAATTGTCTTGAACATTTCATGTTTACCACTCACAGACAGAAACAAGGGACAAAACCCTCTGCCATCAGTCTGTACTTAAACCAAACATCTGAAGAAATGTAACTGTCACACTGTCCACATGCCAAAGTACATAACGAGGTGGAGCTTTTCAACATCAGTCCTACCATTCTGTCAGCAATCACTTTAGCTAACTTGCATCAATGAATGCAATGGCAGGCATTTGGCCTTAGTACTGCTTACAAAAAAAAATTCCAAGCAAGAGGGACAAAGTATGTTTACCCATTTTGACCGGTTTCCCTTCCTCTGAACATGGGCTTTAAAACCTAAGATGATGGCTAGAATATAAGAATATAATATTTAGAGGTTGTTTTTAGAAATTGGCTTGTAGGTAGAGTAGATGTTGAATTAAAACAACTGTCCAGGGGAACAGCTAGGGTTAATAGGTTTCCAAAGTCCTGTATCTGACAGTTTCCTTCAAGGCCCACTGTGTCTGAAGCCAGCAGACCGGCTGGGAAACTGAAGACATGTACCACAGTGTTCCATAACATGAACAGTGTACCCAAACAGAGGTAAGGAACTCTGCAGCATTGGTGCTAGGTCACAGTGGCCATCTGCAGAGCCCTTGAAATTTCTGGTTTTGGTAAACAGACCAAATTAGGAAACCAGTAAATAACCAGATTAAGATGTGTGCATATGATGGGTTTGTTGGAACAAAGAAATATGCTGACAGGTCAGAACATGAACAGTATGATGACCATAGGGAAACCTATCAATGCTGCTCAGAGACGAAAAATCATCAGAGCACAGAAAGAATACAAAAGAAAGGACTTTTAAAACAGCAAAAGGTCATCGAGAGGGGAACCCAAGGCCACCATGGACAGAGGGCATACCACCAGCCCATCTCACCCATGCCACTGGCAGTGGGGAGGGGAAGGGCCCTTGGCCTTTGACCTCCAAGCTGCTGACATCTGACATTCAAGGAAGACCCTCAGGAGTGAAGCTTGCATACTGGCTAGACGTACCTCCCTTCTGCGATAGCCTTAGGACTGGTAGAAATAGAATTGTTTGCATTATTCTTATCTGCTATCACTTTATATCAATACAATTTGCCTTTTATCAAATGGAGGTGTTTGTGGTCGGTCTGAGGGTTTGGGTCTGCCCAGAACAAAGTATCTGCGTCATAAATCCAGTACCAAAGTAGATGAGGCAGTAAACATTAAATAAACAGAGTACTTTCAACGACAGAGGCCCATTATGGTAAAAATAAAGTAGGACTGAGGAAATGTTTCTTCCATGAATAATGACAAAACTAGAGGTAGAGGTTCCCCAGCTTTAGAAGAACTCTTCAACTGATTATCACTATACATTTCTGCTTTTTTTAAAGATATTCACCTTGCTGTCTAGTTTTGTATACAATGAACAAGCATTCAGTAAAGATATGATCACAGGAGCATTCAGCTTGGGCCCGGAAAAAAACCAAAACAGATGGTAACATTTTTTTGGACTAAGTTTAAAAAAAAGAAAGTAAATGCTGCTTATGTAGGTTCACCCTTGATTTAAAAAGCATGCATATAAACTCTAACTACACATCACAAAAATATACAAAATGCATTGTTCCTGCAGATACTGGAGTTAGCGAGACAGAATGAAATGTTGCATTGAGACTAAAGATTGAACTTTCCAAATGTCTTTAACTAGATAAGAGATACAGTATTCTAGTACCAACTTTCCTGATTCTGTACATGAAATGAACAGATTATTTTCAGACCACTTGCTGTTAAACAGAAGGTGAGGGAGGAAACTCTAAAGGAAATTTAAGATGTACAGGTGGAGTAGCAACAGAGCTGCCAGATTCCTGACTGCCTCAGACACAGAAGTCTAACAAAATCTGTTCATTCCAAAAAAAGGAAATCTTGTGTGAAATAATGTATATGGTCTATCCTTTTAATATCACCTATAATAAATTGGCAAGGATATATTAGGCCTGAGGAAGAATGCCTTGCATGCAAGTTTATCTAACTTTATCCCAACTATATTAGTAGGTCCATTAAAAGATATCACCCTAAGAAATCTTTGCCCCTCGCACAATTTCAGGACCTTCATGGCTTCATCACTCTTACACTACTATAATATATACTAATTCAGGTCTCATAATCATACGTTATTTGATATGGCTAACCTCTAAAACCATGCAGTTTGACACAATTTGCCAGAAGGGGGCAATACAGCTACACATGCAGACTGATAGTTTGTATATAAAAACACAAACAGTACCTTGTTCACACAAGGAACCACTAATGAGATAAAAAAATCACTTGAATTCTGTAGCTCCATTTTAAAGCCACGTGAAGGTTAATGTATACACAGAGCGATTTCTTGTACTAGGTACCAAGTATATCAAGGAGGAGGTGGTAAATAAAAAAAGAGAAGAACATACTCCTAGTCAGTCTATCCTAGACATCAACAAGAAGTGGAACCACTTAATGCTAACCCAAGCTGCATATCAAATTTAAACAAAGCAGAAACTGGATGCAAATGATCTACTTTTGGCTTTTATAAAACAAAGCCCTTGGCCACAGTGATCCATTCCACCAAAAGCGTGCCCATCTTAAGTTCCAGTAGCCAGAGCCAAAACCATGTTGGATCCCTCTGAATTGAGGGAATGTGGATAGAATAGGACTCAATCTCCATCACAACCAATTTGGATTCTGCAGCGCTTCTGTAAAGCATTAATTCAGGTGTTTTTTCATTCCCTTTACCCTCAGCATCGTTGTTTCCATTTTGCTGAGCAGAAAAGCTCAAATTCAGACACTTAAATATCATAGATGTAGCTCAAATTTATTTTTAACCATCTAAATATCTTAAATGTCATATGACTGATCTTTCCACAAACAAGCTTTACACTAACCAAAAACCTAAGACTGCTCAGATCATTTTCTACACTTTAGCAACATATAATTTCCTCCTTTTAAGTAACACACAAATTATAAAGGTCCCTGCAACAATGCTTTTTGTAGTCACCTATATGCCTTTTAAAAAGCAATTGTCCTTCTAATATTGCTGAAAGTACACTTTTGGCACACGTCCTAACACCATTCTTGCAGCAGTCTCAGTCAAAACTGTCTAGGATCCATGCCAGCATTGTAAGAACAAGCCCTCATTTTTAATTATAAAAAAAAAAAAAATGTTGGCAACACTGCCTAGTGCATAAAATTTTCCTTTTTGCAGCAGAACATCAAATAGAAACACCAAAAAGGCACAATTGCATCACCTTAACCAAGCACCCCAGAAACTCATATTTAATTAAAGTTCTAAAAGCTGGGAAGAATCCTGCGACTCATGGGCTGATGGTAGCCTAAACCCACTTTGCCAAGCTCTTTATTATTTACATGTTTCCTCCAAACTTGGGGTGAGTTAAGGACAAACTGTTAGCATTTCAATGTTTTGGCTTCCTTCAGGTTATGCAAACTATTGATGCTATCTAAGCATTTTTCTCCCCCCCACCCCTTTTAATGAATTTGTCTTGGTTCACGTTTTCCTGGAGTCACTCAGGTGAATTTTTTTTCCAATACAAGATTCAAACAACAAACCTCAAGAGAGCCATCCAATGGTTTTAAGCTTTTTTAGTGGGGGGACTTTTTTTTAAATTCCCTTTGAATGATGCTTTTTCCTCCCTACAAAACTGCTTTTGTAGTCAATTCCATAAAGACACATCTGTAAGACTAGACAGATGTAGCAGTTTTCCTTTTTCTTCAGCTCTTCATGGTCTGCTGTGCAACTGCATTTGCTAATATATCAACTCACGTTATGCACAGTCAGGCAGCTGCTAAAATAGTCAGGAGTTAGGTTTGCAGCTCAAATTGACTCAACATTGTCTGTTATGTTTTTTGAAAAGAGAAAGACTATTACTAAGCAAAAGAAAACAGATGTGATTCTATAAATATTGAAAAAAACCCCAATACCCAACATGCATATGTTGCAAAAATCTAAAGATGGGAGTGAAGGATGGGCAAAGACAGGCAACTAATTGCCACTTGTGTCTAAAATACAGCATGAAAGTGATTAAGTTAACATTCTTATGTATAAAAATATGTAATATTACAGGTTTATAAATCGAAGAGTGGTTTTGGAAGCAGAAGATTCGGAGGACTTCTCCCCCTTGCTTTACCCCCAAGTTTTGCACCTTTGCACACACCCTCCAATGCACCAAAAAGTCCCTGCATTTAAACTTTACAGAGAACACACACCATCTAATTTCTGATATTTGCACTAGTTTTACTTTCCTATTCAAATAAATTTAGGGTTAAAAAAAAAAAAAAAAAAAAAAACTGTACAGATTAATTGATGTAGGCCATTTGAACCGACAACATTCCAAGGTACTCGAAGAAAATTATTTTTCTTGTATATTAAAAGCAAACTTCTATGGGGGCTAGGCAGTTTGCTAGCTTCCACTCACTTCTGTGGGTACTGCTACAAGCCAACACCTGGAATAGCAACCAAGTTTATCTTGGCAATTTGAGAGGGGTAGAGGAGAAAGAACTTGCCTACCCCCCCTTCCTGCTTCATGTGTGGTTGAGTTCACCTAACGTAAGTACTATATTCACTCCCATATTTGGGAATGACTTAAAAGACTGCATCCTGTGAAGATCTTCTGAATTCTGTTACATTATTACTAGTGTAAAAACATAATGTGAATCTTGAAAACTTATGCTGCAATGTGATGGAGCTGTGATAGTCCTGGTTTCAGTGTTATGTCTTCATTAAAATGCTTGGAAAAAACTAGGCTGGGTGAGCACTTGAAACAACAAATCAAACAAGGGTCATGTGAGGACAACTGGAATTTGATCCTGCACTTCCTGCAGAGCCAGATGACTGGTTTCACTTTAACTCCCATATCCAGTTTTGGCCTGCAAAATTGTTTTGAAACCTTTCCACTTTTAAGATATGACCCATTTGTTTATTTTTATTTTTTTTTCACTGAACATCTTGGGCACTTTTAAAAGATTTTTTAGAAACACCAAAATAAAGATGGATTCAAATGAGACAGGCTGCTTTCACAAAAGCTTTTGAATGAAAACTACCAAGCAATATATAAACAGTTATTCAGTTTATCCTTAAAATGTAGGTGGGCAAGAGTCTACCTGTAGGAGGGGCTTACGAAAGAACTTCATGTGAAAGGTATGGGGAAAAATGTATCCAGGACAATTGGTAATATTATTTTTGATATGTATAGTAGAAATTATGTGTTCTCGATACAAATGTTATGCTACATAAGAACACACCATCAAAAACAGCTTTCCCCATATGATGTATTAATGTATAAACACAGGTGTTTATGATAAATCTAAGAACTTCTGTGTGCCCCACAAAAATTTCTAAAAGTAACCTCAGTCTGTTTCAAGTAAACTAAGAATGAATAATTAAAAAGTCTTCCCTTCTTTATAGCTACTCAAAGTCCAAACCTATTACCCGTTCTTCTAAATGGAGACAACAAAATCGGCAGACATGTATCACCATTCAAGAGACCAGACAATGGGTCTAGGCATCAGCAGTTTCCTATGGAAACTCCTGGGTATTCAGCACTTGGAAGTGAAACACCTTATATTTACTGAGGGGACAAATCTGGATTTAAGAGCCTTTCTAAATGCTCCTCTTTTTATAGATGCACTGGCTAACAACTATGTATTTCTCTTGCATGAAATGTTGGGTCGACTAGGAATATTTCTTAACAACTGGGGCAGAAAAACTCTTAAGAACTCTTCTATTGCTACCTCTTCCAGCCGCCTCCTTTGCTCTTTCTGCTGCTCTATGCGTTTCTGTCTCTCTGCCAGCAGCTGCCTCTTGTATTCCTCTTGCTCTCGGAGTTGCTGTTCCTGGAGCAGCTGCTGTCTCCGAAGGGCCTCGGACCGCTCCTTGTTTTCCTGCTGCAGCCTCAGGAAATCACGTCGGAGGGTTGATTCTCCAGGCACGTTGACAATGGAGCTGCAAAAAGGAGAAAGTGAAGTCGCCCATACCATAAAGCCTGATGGGCCATTGTATACCTAGCCTGAAGCATGGACATTAAAGTTTAACCTAATTACATCTTTTATTAATCTAATTTCTTTCACAACCAAGACACTGGATGCATATCAAATATGCACTTTCCCTGGAAGGTGTAAAATCAGGTCAGAGAAAATAAGAACCAACTCTGGTTCCCAAGCCAGAATCCCACGGGTTTTCTTTAAACATTTGTGAGATAGCTGATTTAGGAGAGCTCCACTTGCTTCTTTAATTAGACCCAAGCATGTTCACTGTGAATCTCCCATACCCAAGTAGTTCCAAGAAATGTCAGTGTTTACAGTAGCCAGGATGGAAAGCTTCGTAATCTTGAGAAATCTGAGTAAACTTTGAAATCTTTCACAGTCCATGTGACACTAATATGCATGCTGAATAATCTATTTAAGGATTCAATAGGATTTAGCAATGCAGGTTTAAAATTTATTGGTCTAGACTGCTTAATGGTCTCCCACCAGCATTTGTTACCTCGGCTCTCCTTCTTGTTCAGGCACTTCCTCCTCTTCTTCCTCACTTCCACTATATTCATACTCTGTCTCATCTGGCAAGTAAGAGAGAAAATAACATTCTAGGTAGCTATTACATTTTTTTTTTTTTAACTACTTTCAAATACCATATTTTTTTGCATACCCCCCTGCTGCTGGAAATTAAAGTGTGCTCTGTTTGCCAGCAATACAGTAATAACAGTATGTCACTAAAGGCAAACATGAAGGTAAAATCTGAACACCACTCACAGGAAACAGAACAAGCAGGCTCTGCTCCTTAGCTGCTACTCAGTTACTATAAGTAAAGATCATTTTTATTTCATTCCAGCTTTAAAAAAGGTGGTGGTGTTACATTCCAGGATTCACAGATGCTAGGGTCGGAAGGCACCTCAACAGATCATCGAGTCTAACCCCCTGCCTAGGCAGGGAAAAGTGCTGGGGTCAGATGATGTTATGTATTCTAGGAAAATATGGTATTTAGATTCTACTCAGGTGCCCTCCATGATCCCATTCAGAATAGCTTGAAGTCAACCAGGTTTACATAAAGCCCGTTGGAACTATTAATTTATGACCTCAGGCTAGACACCCAAGGAAACACCATTAGTTTTATCTATAGGCTCCTACCATTGGTCTAGCATCAACACAGTCATCCACCTGCTGTACTGGTACCAGAATAATAAAATTCTGATTGTGGAGCAAACTGTCGAACTGCTACATAGCTAGAGACAGTGGCAGCAGAAAACATGGCTTCCTTTGTCCCTAAAGCAGGATATGCTCCTGCCCACTAACTTTTAATGAAGTACCTTTGATGATACCAAATTCCTTGTCTGATTCTAAACATCAGAAATTATTCAGGGCAGACACAGAGGTAACAGTAACACAAGTATATAAATATAATACTACAATAACAGTTACGCCTGTCTGCTCCTATACCATTACGTTTGGTGCTAAATTGTTGTAATGGTAAACCTGTCTTCTTCAAATTTAACTCCACTTATACAGTCATAGGTTTAGATAGACAGCAGTTATCACAAGAGCTGATGTATGGTCCACAAACAAGTCCCCCTTCCCTTTTAAATGTTTTGAAGTTGTATTTCTTCACAGCCTAACAAAAATTTTAACACCTCCTGTTCAAGTACCCAAAGAAAAAGGGTATGGACAAACGTACATTCCTGTTGTGACCCTGGATGAAGCAGTTGAAGCTGAAGTGGTTTTGGTACATGCGTCTCTCTACAGAATTATGCAGACAGTGACAGTTGTATCCTAACAGCTTGTATCAGTGTCCTTTGATAGCAATACAGCTGCTATATCTGTCTATATCCAAATAGTTCAGCATCTTTACTTGACATAAATTCCAATTATAGCATAACTCCAGGAATTAATGTATAGAAAAACAAATATGAGAGGGTACACAATCCCAAATATCCTTGTAGATAGTGTGATATTTAAGTTATGTAGGTAATACTGTAGTGAGTGAAACTATGACAGATTCTTACAATTAAAACTATGTGGAAAAGGCAATACAAAAAGTTGAAAGGAATCTTTCAATGTGGAAGTTCAATTATAAAAAACAAGGTCCTTTTTTCTTCTATTTGCAAGAATACTAACTGATTACTTTTTATTAAACATCTAAAAAACAAACTAAGTTTTAAAGGTCTGCATACCTTTCTCTCCTCTCTTCTTTCTGGTCCTGTCTATATGGTCCTTCAGCTGGATTCGGACTTGCCTTTCATTTGGCTGATCACGTATAAAAGGATGTTTTAAAAGCTGTTCTGTAGAAGGCCTCTGCATGTAGTTTTTCACTAAACAACCTTCTATAAAGCTAAAAAACTTTTTTGACCTGAAAGAGAAGGGAAAAAAGTGGAAAACTGATGAGACAGTTTTCAGTTCTTCCAAATTATATTTAAACCCCTCAATTCCCTCTCCTAATATGAAAGTTCTCCCCAAAGAGTGATAACTGGTATCTTATATATACAGACTACCGAACTTGTGATTTTGCAATTTTTATTGAAACAACAAATTTAAGGTTGGTCTCCATGACTGGGAAAACATGCAAAATCACTTGGGGGGTGGTGGGAGGGAGCTGCAAAACCAGAAAAGGGTGGGAAGCTGAAACACTGGGGA